ATGGTGACGAACTCTGGGTAGCTTCTCATAGATCTTGGGCATCTTGAGCTGGGTCCTATACTCATCAAGCTGCCTTGCAACCCGTTTGCGAGCCTTCTTTTCCTTTTCTAATTCTTCCTTAAGGACATCATTCTTCTGGAGTATCTCCCTAGCAAAACGGACCATCACCTTTATAGTCGTATCAAGACCTTGAGGTTCCATCATCTCCCATCCTTCTTTTTCAGGGTCACAACGAGGAAGAAACCTGAATGGGCCTTCCTTCATTTTCTCAAATCATCAGGCACGGTATATCATACAAGCTTCATAGGCTGCATCCTCCATACTTTCCTCCATAGTGGCATGACTCACTAGGTGAGTGTGACTGGTTTCCACCCTACGAGCCTTCCTAGCTTCATCCCAACCAGTGACAACTAAGTCTGTCTTCCAGTATGTAGCTTCATGGGGGTGCCGGTACTCGGTGCAACGATATTGCACAAAGGGACACAAGTCGGAGTAGTAGCATACAAACACTATCATGAGTAGGGAATGGAAGTAGGCCGTGTCATCCCCACACTTGAAATAGAACTCCTTGGTCCACCCCACACCTGGGGGATGATTTCCTTCAGTGAAGCATGGTCCTCTATAGCTAATGCGGGCAGTCTTACTGGCACGAGGCATCTACATAATTAGATTTAGTTAGATAAGAAGCAATAATTTTTATAATAAAGTAAGGCAAAAGAAGCATAAAACTTTAGCAAATAACAAAGGTGAGATGGGAAGCATGAAATGAGTGTAGCAAAAGAAGCTAAACGACCATTGCTAACTAGGCTTGCGTCCTACAGTCAACACGACTCTGATACCAATCTATCACACCCGATTTTAAGGATAAAATGAGATGCAAAATCTTATGTGCGCCCAGAGATCAATCACACACATAAGCCGACAAATTATGAATAGTATCATCACAAGTGTTTATTACATCACGAATATTAAGACAGAGTCTTCACATAGATATAACGGAAGTATAAAGAAAAGATATCTCACGGAAGCTCCATATCACAGGGACGTCGACTGGTTGACCACAAGTCTAGAAGTCCTCAGGAAAATCATCATTACCATAGCCATCTGTTACCAATCCAGGATTTTTATCCAAATATTGAAAATAAACAAGCGTAAGTACAGGTCGTACTCAACAATTGTAACATGGGGTTCATGAGGCTCAAAACGCTTGACACAGGTTTAACGACATTTAGCTTTTAGTTGTCACAATTTTAGCTTAAGACTAGCAACAAGCTGTTTCAGTTCCCAATGCAAAATACATGATCAATGTAAACATAAATAATGAATAGCATAAACAGATAATTCTTAGTGTTCACCTATTCCGTAAATGTTCCAAGGCCACTCGTGATCGTGAGCATAGCTGATATACCAGTTTTACACTCTACAGAGGCTGTACACTTTCACTGTGAGTCGAGATTTACCCTTTCGCCCGAGGTCGCGAGCCTCTTAACCCACTACCAAGGAAGGTCGGCAGGGTTCACTATGAAGCCTTTCAAAGGTTTGTCTAACAGGTTAGGGCCATTAGATTCACTCGGCAAACAGATATAGAGCCCCCCTTCCTGCTGGCACAATGACGCACAACCTATACTCAAGGGGACAGAGGCCGCACTATACCCGATTTGTCAAGCCATTCTTATGCCAATAAAGGTAACCACTAACAAGCTAGAAAAGGTCCTCATACTGAGCTAAAGCCAGAGCCATATAGCCCTCACAGCTGTACTGTAAGTCCTGGATGATCACTTATAGATAGGTCCTTAGGGAGAGGAATCTGAAGCATTTAGAAAGTAGCTAAACACTCCAGCCCCCTGTTTCCAAGTTGCTAAAAAGTCACATTTTAATGTTTCTTGCATATACCATTAGTTAAGTTACAAGATCATGGTTTAACTGAGCACTAGCAAAGCTACCCAATGCATATCCCATGGGTGACAAGGTATAAATTCAATTCTAGGGAATCCCTATCAAGGCGACATATGCAACATGAATTTAATGTATTAAAGTAAATAGGAAACAAGGATGATCCCATGCTATACTTGCCTTGAGCAAAGTACTCTGACTGATCCTGCTCGTCAAAGTAGTACCCTTGATCTCCCACGAATTGCTCACCATCTATACTCGATAATCACAGCAACATATAAGCATCTAGTAGCAATCATGCATAGCAAACAAAAGCTATAGATTAGAATAGTACACCATCAGCATAAAATCAAGATAAAAAGTTTAGAAAACGAATCTACGTCTCACTACGAACACACAGACGCGAAGATCACAAAAATCGGAGCTATAACGAAGAAGTTATGGATTAAGCAAGTTTTCCTTTAGTAAAATAATAGATTAAATCTAACCTCGAATTTTAAAAGTGGAAAACATGCTTAACAGTGGTATGAACATGTAGATTACTTAATTACGAACCTAACGCAAGTTGAACGCATCAAATCGGAGCTAAAACGGAGATTTTATGGCTAAAACAAATCTAGTGGCAAAACTGTAAATAGGTGAAAACGTATTTTAAACCTAACCGAAACAAAATACCCTTTCAAAATAAGGAAACAAAATATGAAAAGACGTTTTGGACTGCGGGTTAAGACCCAAATACTTGTAAGGAGGTTTTTGCAAAAATGCCAACAAAGGGGTATCCTTCATCTGGGGTCGTCGGATTAGACTTGAGCGGCTGAGATTCGTTCGGGCTAGTGAGAGGCGACGGCGGCCGGCCGGACAGGACGGGCGCGGCGGCGCCATGATCGGTGAGGCAATGAGCTCGCTGGAGACAATGGTTTAGGGCCTACGGTGCTCGGTTTTTCATACGGGAAGGTCCAGGAGAGAGAGGAGAGAGTGGGGATCTCACCGGAAAGCTTTTAGCGGGTGGAGAAGGCGTGACGACGACGGCCGACGCGGAATGGTGCACGGCGGAGCTTAGGGCTACAACAGTGGCTCGTCGAACTCTATGCGAGGCAGAAGCTGCGGTGCTGGAGCTGGGATTGGAGGCGGCGGGCACGGGGCATCCGATATTTAAGAGACGCGGATGCTTCGGCGGCACGGCGCACGAGGCGTAGCGGGAGCGGACACGGACGGCGACGACGGTGTCCGAGCCGGTCATGAGACGAAGGTAGAAGAGGCCCGTGACGGGCGGGCCATGGCAGTCAGTGAGACGGAGGGAGGAACACGGGAGCGGCGTGACCTAGGCTGGGGCGAAGCTGGGCTGTGCGGAAGGAGCGAGCGCGGGAGATGGGCCGGCACGGAGGAAAGGAGAGGCAGGCACGTGCGGGGAGGAGAGGAGAAGGGCCAAACGGTCAGCTGGGCCGGCGGGAGGAGCAAGGCCAGAGTGTACCAAAAGGAGAGGGAGAGTGAGGAAAGAAAGCTTTGTCATTTCTTTTTATTTTTAAAACTTTTTCTAAGGAAATTTTCAAATGGATTTTGAATTTGAATCAAACTATGCATCACAAAAATCCCAATGCAACATCATGATTGCACCAGCATGTATTTATACCTATATTTGATTTTATTTTTAACAAAGTTATTATTTTCCTAAATTCAAATGCTCACAAAAATACATAATTAATTATTTTCTCTTATTTTAAAATATTATAAATTTTAGGGTGTTACAGTTAGAGAATGACTATTTTATATGTATTTTATTCTTATGCAATTATGAGCAATTTGATTAGCACGCTTGTATCTGTTTCCATGTACATGAATGCTAAATTGCAAAGAGAAATGAAGCAGCAAGTTCGGCAAACTGTATACGCAACCAAACGATGATGCTAGCTGGGCAAAAGAACCAATCGTGCTGCAGTGGCAAGGTCGACCTTGCTGAAACCAGCAAGCTTGTCCAACTGAGCTATATCCCATCTCAGCAAGACTACCAAACCACCCTAAATCAACTGAGGAGAGGCGATGTTGGGACTACTATTCGTAGATTGCTGGCTCACAAGTAAGGAGAAGAGATTAGAGGACAAATAAAAAGTCCAGGGATGTAGCAGAAAAAAGCATTTTCGAAGGGCAAACTGAGTCTTGATCAATCGGTTAGGTTGTTTATAGTAGAACTTATCCAATCAAGTTCAAATTTTCGATTTGACAGGTTCGGCCCTGAGGAGGTCGAGCAGTGCCGAATTAACCGAAACCGAAAATTTCGGTTCCTAGTTCGGTTCCCAGTTCTCAGGAACCGAAATAATATCGGGTAATTCGGTTCCAGACCTTGGTTAACCGAACAGAACTGAAGAACCGAATCTGTACATATTGGTCCAATAGCAAAAGAACCGAACTGTATGGTTGATGTAATGTATGGCTCGGTTTTCATTTTTCTCCTTTTCTTCCCTTCTGTTTCGCTGATGTAATGTATGGCTCGGTTAGTTCAGTTCTAACCGAAACCGAACCGAACTAACCGAGACCGAATTTCCTCGGTTCCAAGTTTTCTAGCTAACCGATCGGTTCTAGTTTCATGCTAACCGAATTTTATAAAGAACCGAGAAACCGAACCAAACGATTTCGGTTAACCGAATGCCCAAGGTGATCTGCTACTGCGTGCACAGAGGAAGAAGAAAAAGAGGAGACTGGCAGGTGGGACCCACGTACCGGTGGCAAACGGACCAAAATTTACTATCCATGCAATCTCTTTTCGTGCCTCTTACCAAACGCAAAACAGAGACACCCAAATCCTCTTAACCAAATAGTAGGGTAGTTCCGTCAAAAAAAAAAAAAACTGGAACGAACTCATTCAATCCCACTTAGTTCCCCAACCAAATATTATTTCAGTATCAACGTAATGCAAAATTTTATATACTCATATCAAATCTGCTCGTTGTCCTTGAGAATCGTTATTGTTTCAGTATCCACAGGTTCGTACCAACAAGAATTGCAGCAAAAAAATGTCTTATTTAAAATGACAATATGAGATCAACCAAGGAAAGCACTGTGAGATAGTCCACTCTCCTTAATGCCTTCCTCCGCCAATTCTTACAGGTTTTTCATCCTCTCCCTAACGCTTTGCCTTCATTATTGCCCATTAGTTTCTCAATAGCAGCTTGGGTCTTCCCTCTCTCGACCTGAGTCTCCACTTCAACCTCCACTCCCACTCTCCAAACATCGCACACAAACCTAGCATTTCCAAATTGGTCTCCCAAGAACGGGCGTGATATCGTGGGCACGCCTTCTGATATGCCTCCATCGTGGAGTTCCAACCATTGTGTGTCAAGAAAGCGCCAACAGCAGGATGAGCAAGCACCTCATCCTATGGCGCCCAGTCAACGATGCTACAGCCATGTTCGTTTCTCTTATAATCCGTCTTTTTCAGCTTATTTTTTTAACTGAAATGGTGTTTTTCTCTCACAACAAATCAGCCGGAACAGTATTTCGATTTATTTTTTTTCAGCTAAGCTAACGGGCCCTACCTCGGTCACCGATCTCCTCCCGAAACCCATCCGGCAGCTCACCGGACTCGAAGCTGCGGATGAGGCTTGGCCTGACCACCCAAACGAAGGGGCGCTTGCTGTCAGCCAGGCCCCAAGCCAGCTCCACGAACTCGTGCGGGTCCATGGCGGCGAGGCTACCGAAGCTCACGTAGACCACCGTGCCTGGCGCCTGCGTGTCCAGCCAGTCGAGGCACCGGCGGTCCTGCTGCAACCGGTACAGGCTGATGCCTTTCACCGGCGGCGTGAACTTGTTGAGAGGCCCGATGGAGAACACCGGGATGGACAAGTCCTCGCGGATCTTGCTGAGGTCGGTAGCCTCGATGGCGTCAAACGTGTTGATGATGAGACCGGAGGACTGCCTGGCTCCGTCGACCCTGTGCGCCAGCACGCTGGCGAAGTCGACGAGGCTACTCGTTTCTATGCGTTCCATGTCTCTCACACGGAACGGCGGCAGCAAGTCAACAGGATCATCCCGGCGCTCCTCTGCAGTCCATGGACGGAGGAAATAACAAAGAATTTGAGCTGTTAGCCTGTTACACAAAGAGCATGTTGGTACAAATAGCATTCCGATTTCATTAGTTATCACGTACCTTGGGCGGGGAAGTAGCCCTTCTCAATCAGTGCCGGGTAGACGATGTAGCTCCCGAAGCTGGCCGCGCTGCTGGTCATGAACCCCAGCGCCGCCACGTTGAGCTCCCTCGCCGCAGCCTGCGCCGAGCACCATATGACGTCGGTGATCACGCAGCAGACGCCTCCGTCGTCCTTGCCGCCGTCAGAAATCAGCTCCGCCAGCCGCTCCTTGAACGGCGCCGCGCAGCAGGCGTTCAGCTCCACGACGAGCCTGGCGATGTCCTCGGACGCCACGACGTCGGCGGGCACCGTGACGGGCACAGCCACGAAGCTGTAGTCCGCGGGGTAATCTGCCGGGTCTGGCGCGCGACCGCGGGCGTGCAGAGCTCCGGCGAGGCGGAGCACAGGATTGAAGTGGCCCTGGTATGGGAAAGGGAATAGTACCACACGGCGGACGGCTCCGCTGCACGACGACGACATTGCTGCGACCTCGATGGACACTTCTCTGATGATGATTATTAGGATTGATTGAAACAGACAACAACCTGACGGGGTTAAAGCCTCTTTGACACGGCTCATCCAAAACGGCTTCACCGGTGAAGCCAAAACCGGTGAAGCCACATAAACTGGTTTTTTTCGACTTCTAGTTCATTTTAACCCCGGCTTATAAAACAGCTTCACGCTACAATACATCGATTTACGCAAAATAGATGAAACCGAAGACGACATAAGGGCACTCACAATACAGACTCTACCCATAGAGTCTTAACATTAAAGACTTCATCACAAGAAACCATGCTCCCCAATGCAAAGTTTGTAATAGTAGTTTCTAGAGATAAAAGAATTTATTATGCAGCACAAACAAAGCTGATTAGCTGTGGCATACTACATGTGATCCACCCTACACCTCACTGCAGCTATCACCAGGATATTCGATCAACCGGCAATTAAACCAAACAAGCAGTATATCACTGAACACAACGCATACACTAGTGTATCACTAGAAGCATCCAAAATCATACTCGACACAACTTCGATGGAAGTTCAGATAATAGCTAGCCATGAGTCATCCATTACAATACCAATAAGGATAGAAATATAAATACCAGTGGCATGCACCTAAACAGCCATGACAGATACCGTTGTCCATTATAATAAGAACGTAAATATAGATAGCAAAACCAAAATAATTAGATAATAGTATTTTGATAATCTCCAGCCGTGGCTGAAGTTTCCAGCCTACAAAAAACATTCCAGCATCCTCCGGATAGAAGCCATCAACACTTTCATGTCCTGACTCCTGATCATCAACCTGTAAAATAAGATGAGCTAGTAAATAAACAACTTTGTTGCAAGAAAAAGAGATGGAGAGTACACTAACAGAACTATTGTAACATAGTCATATGAAAGTATTCATGTAACAGGCTAGTATATAATATATAAATTAATATTTCCACCTAATTAGTTCGATGCCCAAACTTCTGCCAAATGTGATCAATCAAATCGGATTGTAGTTGCTTGTGAGTTTCACGATCACGAATCTCGACATCTCTCTGCAGTACCTCCTCCATCACCGGATCATGTCCTTGAGTGATTGTAGATGGCTGAACAGTAGACGTGGTTGCTTCCTCATTCAAGTCGAACGAATCGTCTTCTATATCCTTCTCGTCCTCGATTATCATGTTGTGAAGTATTATACAAGCTAACATGATATTCTGAAGATCCCCTTGTTCATATAGACGTGCCGGCCGACGCAAAATGGAAAAGCGAGATTGTAAGATCCCAAATGCACATTCAACATCTTTTCTTTCCCCCTCTTGATGTTCTGAAAACAGCTTCTGCTCAGCTGATTGTGGTGCACGTATGGACTTGACAAAAACAGCCCACTCTGGGTATATTCCATCTGCAAGATAATAAGCTTTGGTATATTGCCTTCCATTCACAAAGTACTGCACCTGGGGAGCTTCTCCTCTTAACTGATCGACGAACAAAGTAGATTGACTCAGCACATTGATGTCATTGTTGGATCCGGCCACTCCAAAGAACGCATGCCATATCCATCGGTCATGTGAAGCAACAGCCTCTAGAATGATGGTTGGTACACCATGATCACCACGAGTATATTGTCCCTTCCATGCATAGGGGCATTTTTCCCAATGCCAATGCATACAGTCAATGCTCCCTAACATGCCAGGAAAACCACGACGCTCACCAATCTCCAACAATCGTTCCACATCTTGCACTGTTGGGCGTCTCAAGTACTCTTCGTTGTATACTTCAATGACACCTTGAACAAACTTTTTCAAGCACTCCACACCAGTACTTTCTCCCATCTTCAAATACTCATCATGCTGGTCTGCAAAGCCGCCATATGCTAATTGACGGATTGCTACTGTACACTTATGAATTGGTGAGAACCCGGGACGATTCAGAGCATCTGGTCTCAAGGTGAAATACTCAGACCACCCACTCAAGGCCTCAACAATCTTCAGAAAGAGGGGTCTCCCCATCCTAAATCTTCTACGAAATTGTGTCTCATTGTAGACTGGATTAGGAGAGAAGTAGTCATCCATTAGTTGCTGGCTGGCTTGTTCACGAGGCCTGTTCACATATCGCCTAGGACCACTCCGAGTTCTTCCACCTTGTATGACATCAACAACCGACTGCATTTCAGCAACTAGATGATCGCCTAAATCATCTAGAATTTCTTGCTCTTGAAGATAGTCATCCATGGAGTATAAATCAGCCGGGTCGATGCTGCCATCTCCATCCATGGATTACAGAAAGGGCAGCAGTATAGCAGAAAGAGAATAGCAGATAAGAAAGGGCAGCAGTATAGCAGAAAGGTGTCGTGGCTGTGCTGTATATATGCACATTTGCCATGCCTATACATATTCACACTTCAATGCAAAAAAGTAGTGGATGGAGTTCACACTTGCATGCTACAAATAGTGGAGACAGTTCACACTTGCATGGTAAAAATAGTGGAGACAGTTCACACTTGCATGCTAAAAATAGTGGAGACAGTTCACACTTGCATGGTATAAATAGTGGAGAAAGTTCACACTGTAATAAAATAGCAATGATCATATAAGAATTTAAAATAGCAATGATCACAGGAAATAAAAGGATTTAAGTTACCTTAAAGGAACTACTTCCATGGTCACATTTGTTTGCACACAGTTGCTACTGCATAATCAATTCCAGGAAATTACAAGTCCATCAGCTACCATTTCTAGGCAATTAAATAAGCAATTGAAAAAGGGTCGACTGCGTCATACCTTCGGAAATAAAGCAAGTCTCAGGCTCTCCGGTGCCAAGTTTCTCTCAGCCAAAGCATCTGCACTAAGCTGAACAGTAGGCGCAAACAGCAGTTGTGTGTAAGTTTCTAACATTTTGCACTTAGTTTGTTCATGAGCTGCTTCATGATTAAGCCTAGCTGCTTCAATCTTCTTATCAGCCAAGCTTTGCTGAATTTCAGTCATCTTCTCTCTGTCCTCTCTATTCTTGCTGCTTGCTTCAATGAACTTCTCAAATTTTCCACTAAAATCAGCCAAAGCATCAGATGACTTCTTTTTGCCATTGAGTTCTTTTTTTGCTTTCTTATGTCCCATAGGTCGCTTTTCTCCATCTAATTCCAAATTCACCAATGGAGCTGGATTAGCCTTTGCACCCTTTTCCTTTTCCTTCTTTAACCTAGCAAGATATGCTGACCACTTCTGCTCACCACGCACTACCTTCCACATATGCAGTAGATGGAAGGCCTTACCATTATTTTTGCCGGCCCACATCTCTAATGCTTTGTCAATAACCTGGTCATCACTCATCCCACTTTGCCACACTCTATTGGCATTTACCCAACATCCATGAAAATCAGTTAATGGTTTATTAGAACGATCCCAACGTATTTTTAGTTGGTTTCGGTTCCTCTTACGACTACTTTCTGTGTCCTTGTTGTATTCTTTAGTAACATCTACCCAATAAGCATCCCCCCTCTTGTCATTTCCATCTATTGGGTCCTTTGAATTACGCAACCAAGCATTGGCCTACAGGAACAACAAAAAAATAGAATGAAAAAAGACAATCGTTATTCTTCAAGTGTGCATGGAGATAGCAAGGTTTCAACCTACCAGTCGTTTGTCTTCAGGGACCGACCAATTCAAACGCTTGTCGGTTCTAGAATCCTCATCGACGTTAATTGTTTCATCTTCTTCTGCACCGAGTTCAACCACTATATCATCATTTTGCTGTGCTGGAGAGGGAGTTCTTGTAGCACCCAGGTCATTTGGTGAAACTGAAGATTGACTCATTCCACCACCAACATAGTGAAAATTTTCCTTTCCACTAGGATGGTTAGCAAATGGGTTTGGCTCTAGAAGATCTGAGAACCCTCCTGGTGGGTATAACCTGCAACCATATGAATTTTCATGCTCCAATTAGTAAATCAAAAGAAAAAGGATAGATCTCGAATACATAATGATACCATTACTTAAATCTCGGAGCTGTCAGTGATTCTAGTGACTATGCAATAAGATAAATGGTCCGTTGCAACCTGTAGGTACATTTGCTAGTACACATTAAAGGCACCATTCAACTAAAGAAATCCATCTGAGCAAGTATGGCCATATGTAACCCATGGATTCAAAACTAAAATCTGTAATCGCAAATATCATCTGACAGTCATGGCATAGCCAAACTAACCATATAGTTATTAGTCATATTTCTTGTGGTAAGTGAAATGTGGTCCTTTGTTCTGTGATGTGACGGGTGGCAAGTTCTCCTAGCTGGTTGTATGTTGGTTGCATTAGTGTAATCGCCGTAGGCTGTTTGGTTTCTGTAGCTAAGAAGTGATTGGTCCAGCAATGGAAATATAAACTAATGATCTTAGACATTCAGAACCCAGTTTATTACACAGTGCAGACGATCTGTTAACAAGAACAATGGCTGAAATCTGTAAAACCTACTGATTTCGAGTAAGAATTCGAGGACTGAGTTAATGTACATCCAATCCCGTCCAAGAATCCTTGACTGAAGACTTACCCTTCACTAGGAGATGACATTGGCCACCATCCACCAACGGGGGAAGCACTAGTTCGAGGAACACCAGCATCTTGAGGAACACCGATGGCTCGAGCCTGAGCTCGGGTTGCAGCAGCTCCGACGACCGGAACACAGGTCCCAGCAGCACGGACAGATGGAGGCTGGGTTCTAGGGACACCTCTGCCTCGCCGAGAATCGGTCTTTGTTAATCTATTCATTTGTGAGATTTGGGGATGCTCTTGGGTCACAGTGGATGGGCGAGGAGACAGAATCGAAGGGAGCTATGGATGGACATGGATATGAATCTGAATGGGCGGTAGAGGAGGAAGATTAGGGTGGGAGGGGGCGAGGCCGGAAAATTTGGCGGCGACGGCGGGTCACCTCTACGAGCGCGTGCGGGAGAAGGCCTCGAGCGCGGGAGATGGCTGGCGGGCAAGCGG